AAAGCAACACCTTGATTGTTAACAGGAGGAGGACGCTCATTCTGGGCAACAAACTGCTCATGTCGATCTCGGTTTACAACAGAAGGCTGTACAACTTGGTCTGCATTAACGTTGTTCACTTGCGGGAAGTCTTCCATAGAATCATACAGAGGGTTGGACGCCATAGTGAACCCTGTTAAGGCGTTAGGAGACTGGAAATTGCCTTCAGACATAGCTACCAATAGTCTTCAGCTGTCTTCAATGCTTGATTCTGCTCAAATCTACTCAACCCCTAGGTCGGTCTTCTGACAATCAACAGCTGCTCAATCCAAACTTCGGGTAATCACCTTCAGGAAACAAAGGTTGGATCAGAACTCTGGCTAACTGGAGAATGGTATGCAACATGATGCGAAGATGCCTATGCAAATGCAATGCAATGCAACAAACACGGGATCACAGCCCCCACACAATCTCTGAATACTGCTGCGCTGCTGACGGAGACGTTTGCTCTGAAGAGGAAACCAAAATAACGGGTAGGTTGGAAGTCAAGTTTCTTGCAAAAAACCCCCCCACTCACAGGTATGGACCTATATCTGACAAGGTACGGCATCCTATGCGGTCGTCAGCGTCACAGACTTTCAAAACTGACGATACGATTCCCAGAAGGAGTGGCATCATCAAGTCCTGAAGAGGCCTCACTTAGCTAACTTCCAAATGATCGGTTCCCAGAGTCGACAATCCAACTAACCAGCAACCCAAGCCACCCAAAGGGTGGGTCAAGAGGCCAACCAGAAGAACCTCGTCTGAGTGTAGATTTCGCGGGACACCAAGGCAAGCAAAGCATGCGGGCGCCCATTAATCTCTACTCTAAGTCTAAGGTGCACTCAAGCCCAGGTCCGGCTTCTCTCAATCATAGAACACCCGTAACACCCCAACAGCAACAGATAATATCGATAAATAAGCCCCAATAGACAAGCAAACAAGCGCTAGGATTGACTCTCTCTTAGGGGACGTTGGATCCCAAATGCATAAGAACTATCGCCGTCCTTAGCAGCCAGGGGACGTTGGATCCCCAGCAGAGTCGCCAGCTGTCGCTACTGCGAAAATCGGCGTCGGCTGACAGAAGAGTCGCCACCATGCGTTATTTATCCCAACGGAGGGAAAGGAAACGCTCGAAGTAAACCTCGCAAAAAACGGGAAAAGGTATGATCATCGCAACCAAAACCTGGGTTCGGGAGTCGGTTACGCAAGGGGAAGGTATTAGCACCCCTCACGTCCGTCGTACTCGACGGGATCCACGCTTGCTTGGGTTGTCTAAAGGACGCAAAAACAATCTATCTACGGCTGCTAAATCTAAACGGAAGGAAACTGACTCGATAGAGCGTCGCACTCTACGCCTACGTATTCTCAAGAGAGAAAGTCAGAGTCAACGTAGTTCGGGACTACAGGGAAATTGGCTCGCCAAGACCTCGCGTCTTGTGCCTACGTACTTCCACACTGCATGGAAGATCAGAGCTTTACGTAGTTCAGGCTAACTACGGCTAAACAGGGTATTCTCACACAGCAATGAGAAAATAAACTGGTTTCAAAGGTACGGGAACCTATGGGCAAAACTACGGTTTGGTCTCAAATGCACTCGGGCAAGAGAGAAAAAGGGTAACAATTAGTCGTCAGCGGGAAAGTCTCGATCGCACAGCCGCGAAGAGAACAAAAGGTTAGTTGTTAGTGTGCTCGCTAGGATATCGCATCCTATGCCTACATATTCTCGTCTGGTACGAGAAATCAGAGCAGTTGTAGTTCGGCTACTTTCGGGACCACAGCTCAAATCTCGTTTTATTAACGTTCTGAAAAATGGTTACAATGATTGAATACTGAAAATAAATCTCCTAGGAAATACTATCCTATCCTATCCTGAAAAATCGAATGGAAAAGAGTCCCCTAACAAGTGGACTTTTAAACTATCCCTAAAAATGAACTCCATGAAAAAATGTACTCTAAAAAAAATATTAAATCTACCTTAATATTTTTTTTCAATATTTCTTTTCCCTTTTCTTTTTTTCAAAATATTTTTCCTCTTTTTTCTATATTTCTTTTTCCTTTTTCATATTTTTTCTCACTATTTCTTTTCCCTTTTTCATATTATTTCTTTTTATATTTTTTTCTACACTTCTTTTTTCACATATTTTTTCTTCAATATTCTCTTTTTTTCATATTCTCTCTTCTTTTTATTTCAACTATATTCTTTTTTTTTTAAATATTTTCTCTCTTTTTTTTTATATTCTTTTTTCAAGTATTTCTTATCCTTTTTTTTTATTCAAAGAAGATAAGAAAAAAAACAAAATACAAGGGGGGTGGTACATGTCTACAAGGGGGTGACAACTGCAAAAAAAATAAAATACAAAAACAAGGGCCCAGCCCAGTCCCACACTGCACACACGCAGGAGGGGGTATGAGGAGAAAAACGCAGGTGAAGTCCAGGAAAACGTTGGGCCCAGCCCATTGCTACAGACACACAGCAGAGGGGTGGAATTGGAAATTGAGGGGTATGGACTAGCAAAAACATCTGGGCTCAAGGGGTTGCGAGGCCCAAACCGGTCCACGAATCTTCCACCCTCCTTCGTCCAAACTCCACAGAACCCTAATTTTCCCCTTCTCCCTCACTCAGCATCCGCCGCCGTTTTCCTCCTTGTCTCCTCGTCCTTTCTCAGCCTTTCTCTCATTCTCACCTTTCTCAGCCTTTCTCTCATTCTCAATAACAAACACTCAACCCATGCAGATTCAAATCGCAGCCTGAAGATTTCAACAGAAACTCTTAAGAAGATGAAGGTTCGTTGAAGAATCCTTGATGAACACTTGAGGAATTTCTGGAAAATGCGCAGGAATCTTGATGCGAGTTCTGGTAACAACATGCATGAGCCTGTGATGAAGCTTCCGTTGAGGATCCTTATCGGAGAAGGCGAAGATCCGTGCGATGTCTGGAAAAACGACGTTCTTGCGAAGAGTTTTCTGGAAATAATGAACTGTATGATGATGACGAAGATCGCTGATGAAGATTGTGATGCTGATGATTATTTCTTCCGGCGAGATTGATGAAGATCGTGGAAGGAAGTTTGAGATCATGAACTTCTGGGAAGGATGAACAAGGTTGAATCGGAGGAAGATGAAGTTCTGGAGGTTTCTCTGAAGAACCTTGAAGGTTTCTGGAAACATTATGAATGTTCTTGAAGGATGTTGAATGAAGATCTGAGATGATATTGATGATCGGAAACTGGCGAACATTAGTGGTGATGTAGGTTGATCGGAGGTTTCTGGGTTGTATTGGTCATGGCTGATGATGGATCGGAGAAGATGAGAGGAGATTTGATGATTCTAGGTTTTTTGTATTTCCGGTGACCGATACGGCGGCCGGAGTAGGTTAGGTGACCGGCGGTTGGTAGTTGTGGTGGCCGGCGATGGAAGTTGGGGTGGTTGCATGGCCGGAAGGGATGATGTTTCTGGTAGAAGGATGAAGGTTGGATGAGAAAGATGAAGGTTGAACGGTGATGGAGGAAAATGAACGGTGGTTGAAGGATGAAGAATGAAGCGATTTTGGGAAAAAATGACCTCCGGCGAGATTGATGGTGGCCGCCGGCCATGCATGCCGGCCGGTGAGGGGGGACGGTGAGGACCGGTGGAGAAGACGCATGGCTGCGGCTGGTGGAGGAAGTGCACGCATGCAGGACGCGTGGCACTAGCGTGGCAGATAGATGGAGAAGGAAAATGTGATGTGGCGTGGTGATGGCAGTGTAACGTGGGGTCCCCCTCTGCAGCTACACGTGTAATCTGAGACTTTATACCACTGGGATTCTCTGGACATTTCTGGAATATTCCGGACTTTGCTGGAAATTTCTGGACGAAACTGGGCTTGCTGGACTGCGAATTTGGGCTTTGGATGACTTATGGATACTGGCCCAACGAAATGGATGATAAAACCCCCCAAAAAACTGCATAAGACAAAAAATGATTAAACTAATTGATTAAAACTAAAGTGATTAATCCTAATTAACTAAGATCTAATTAATCTAAAAATCAATTAAATTCTATAAAATTCCTATAATATCTAATAAAAACTATTAAAAGAAAAAATCTATTTATTTCTATATTAAAAAATGCTATTGAATTCTATACTATTTAAAAGAAAATTTATTATATTCTATAAAATCCAAAATAAAAATCTATAATATTTCTATATCTAAAACTATATGCTTCTATCAAAACCATTTAATATCTAATATTCTAAAAACTATAAAAAAAAATTAAAACCTATTCATATTCTATATCTAAAAATATATTCAAAAATTCAAAGAAAAATCTATTAATATTCTATAAAATTCTATATTATCCTAAAATGATTAAAAATCTATTTAAACCCTAAAAATGGCCAATAAAATCCAGAAAAATCACAATAATTCCCAGAGGAACAAAATAAGCACCGAACGACACATAACACCGCGAGAGCGCACCAAAATAGCCGGTAAAAATAAACGGGCACCGAAATATCCCAAAAATACGATTCTACCTATCTGAACTGATTAAAAACACCTGAGACGCGAGACGAGAGCTGTGATCCCGATAAAATGAAAAATGCACTGTATGCGATATGCAGATGCGGATGCGTGAATGCGTCGAAACATCGAGCCAGATACGGGACCCGGTTGGTCAAATTCTAGGGTGCAACACTGAGTCAACAAAATCTCCTTCTTATCACTATCATCAGGTTGGGCCTCATTCTGTTCATCAACTTGGGCCTCGCAATCCTCCATATTTTGCTCCTCTGGTTGGTCCATACAAACATCCGCATTTTCTTCAACCGGCTGGTCCCCATAAACATCCACATTTTGTTCATCAGTTTGGGCCTCACAATCCTCCACATTTTATTCCTTGGGTTGGTCCACACAAACATCCACATTTTCTTCAACATGTTGGTCCCTACAAACATCCATATTTTGTTCATCAGGCTGGTCCCCATAATCCTCCACATTTCATTCCTCATGTTGGTCCACACAAACATTCATATTTTGTTCCTCATGATGGTCCACACAAACATCCACATTTTCTTCAATAGGCTGGTCCCCACACACATTCATATTTTGTTCATCAGGTTGGTCCCTACAATCCTCCACATTTTGTTCCTTAGGTTGGGCCTCACAAACCTTAATAGTTAGGGTTTCAGGTAGGGCAACAACTAAATCAGGTTGTTCAATAGGGTGGACTATGTATATGTCAACCTTTCTCTTAGTCTTGGACCAGTTCAGTGCTTCTATTGCACCAAAATCATCTTCCAGCGCCTTCAATGTTCCAGCAAAGTCATACCACATTTCTTGAACTTCTGGATACTTCGTCTCTTTAACAACCTCCAATATTTCAAAGTAACTCCATCTGTCACCATCACACTTCCAGTTTGACATTTCACCTCCTATATATTTGTCATCAACGAAATACCCCATGATGAAAGTCAACATAAAATTCTTCCATAACCATTTTGTTCCTGTTTACATCAACCTAAAATAAGAAACATACTTTATAATTGAAACAAACATTATAGATAAGCAACATTAACCTAACCATAAACCTAAGTTCTATCACGCAGGATCATGTAAGTTTACGTATCTAAATGTGTAAGTGTGTGTAACCTAACTATTCAAATAATGAGAACCACAGAAAACTACCATCACTGTGTAAGTGTACGTACCTAAATGTAGTTGCACGCAAGGGTTTCTTCACCTTTAATGTATCCTAAATGCAAGAGGAATAACTAACTTCACCAACCGTAATAGTCTTAATCAGCAAAGGGAAAAGAAAATTAGGGTTGTGTAACCTAAATTTGGGGATTATACCGTCTTAATAATTCGAGGAATAACACAAATGCCAATTTAACAACCGTCCATGACACATCATCCCTGTTAACTGTCATTTCATCTCCGTTTGTGCCACATAGGCGTTTTTGAAACGAAGATTCTAAAAAAGGTTAACGATGCAAACGTTACTTAACATAAAGGACCCAATTGTTACAAAAAAAACTTAAATGACTAACTTATTATTTTAAAATAACTTAAGGAACCTAAACAATATTTTTGCCTATTTTATACTAGAAAAAAATATGTTGTTGATTCAAAATTTTTATACACGGGAATAACTTTACTATTGATTCAAATATTTTTATAAACAATGTCAAAAAAATATTTATATACGGGAAAAATTACATTGCTAATTCAAATATTTTTATATACAGAAAAAGTTGAATAATAGAAATTTTATATAAGAGAACAACTTTACTGTTGATCCAAATATTGAATAGAAGAAATTTATCAACTATTTTTTATAAACATGTGAACAAGATTAAGGGAGTGTATTAAATAAAGTTAGATATTTTAAAATTGTATTATCTCTTATAAAATGATTGACTTATTTGTAAAAAAACTAAAACGAATGGTTTATCTATTACAAGTTTTAATAGTCTTTTTTAATCATATTATTTATAATATTGTTGTTTACATTTCTTCTTCTACATGTATTATTATTTCAATTTAAATTTACTATCATTCTTAATTTTTTTAACTTCATATTTTTATTACAATCTACAAACAAATGTGCGTCCAATATCATATCCCAACCTAAAACGTATATCATGTGTATTCATAGGTTTGTTACTAGTGCATCCTAAAAAAATTAACAACAAATCAAAACAGAAAAATAAAATAAAATTTGAAAAACTTACCAAAATGGAATTGATTGATGAGAAGAAGATGTTTCGATGTTATGAGATTATAGAAATGAGGAGAAAGAGCTTCATCGATGCTTCAATTCAATGATATATGCTTCAAAGATTGGGAGAGGAAGAGGTGTAATTTTCTTTTTTAGAGTTTTTTAGAAAATGAAGGAGGAAGAGGGAACTGTTATGGCATGAGTTATGAAAGAAAATCGTCTGGAGATGCATCTTCGGGCCACCAACACATTTTTGAATACATGGACACATTTTTAATACATATGAAGATGCATCTCCGAACAAAATTTTAACATAAAAAAGTGTCTCTTTAGTTTGGTCTGAGAAATGGTAAAAATAGATGCGTTCACACCAGGGACATTGTGGACTTTTTACATAGTGGTGTGCAAGAACCCATAAAAGTAGAAAGAACATTTCCCAAATTTTTATAGAATTTCTTAAGGCACCATATGTATTTATTAGACACCATGTAAATTGTCTATAATGTCCCTAGTTTCCGGAGATATATCTCTAGACACACCCTTCTCACACTCAAGGAAGGCCATTTCGGATGGTGCCCCATGCATTTGTTAAAGATTTATTTCAGAGATATAGCTACGTAACCATTTAGATAAAACATGAAAATTAATCAGTTAAGTGGATGTTCCAGAGATATATCTTCGGAAGACGTGAGCGGAAATTTGAATTTTCCTATCACCGTTGCATGTCAGATTATTCGGAAGTATCTGATATAGTTTCAAGATGCATGATTAGTCCCCTCATTGTTGCCATTCTTCATTTCAACTCTAACCCTCACCCTAAAATCCCTACATTCTCAATCTCATTCTTCACTTCAAATCTCCATCCTTTTGGTTCAACATATCACAAGGAGCAAAAGAAGATCGAATTTCAGGTAAAGATTGTTCATTCTCTTATACATTGCTCACATTAATCATGAAACTTTACTGGAAAAAAATATACGCAGTGTCCAGAGATGTATCTCTGAAACGTGCTGAACATGAACATTTTTAGAGATATATTTCTGGAATGTTTCTGTGTTCTTTTTTCATCCTTTTCTGCAACACTAGATTAATTATTTTTATTGTTTTTATTGTTTCCAATAGATATGTTGTTAAGGCAGTAGATATGGTGTTTCCAATAGATATGGTGTTAAGGCAGTAGATCCTTTTCTGCAGCACTAGATTAATTCTTTGAACAAAGTTTCTCTGAATGTTCAAGGGATTGGTGTTAAGGCAGTAGATGTTCACAATGAACTTAATAACAAGTAAGGGTTTGAAAATCGTGATAACATGCTCGAATGTATTCGTATGGTGGCATCTAGACTTGGATTTGGTGTAGTTATCAAAAGGTCAGATAATGGCTCAGATAGAAGAAGCGTCTTTGTGACTATGTTGTGCGAAAGAAGTGGGAAATATCAAACTCCTCTCCAGAATTTTAAGAGAGAAGACACGGGTAGTAGAAAATGCGAGTGTCCGTTTAAACTTTGTGGTTACGTGTTGGCTAGCAAAAAATAGATGTTTATTGTCATTTGTGGTGTGCATAACCATGAATTGTGCTTAAAGTTATCCGGACATCCTAGTGTATGTCGGCTCAAGCCAGAGGAGAAGGTATGTATTAGTGACATAACCTTGAATCTTGTCCAACCGAAAAATATACTTGCAACATTGAAACAGAAGCAAACCGACAATATATCAAACATCAAACAAGTGTATAACATTCGATACCTCACTAACAAGGCGATTAGGGGAGATAAAATTAAGATGCAACAACTATTGAAGCTCTTGGACGATACACGACACCAAACTTGTGACGATGAAGTTACGGTTAGAGATATTTTTTGGACTCCTTCGGATTTGATAAAGTTGTTCAACACGTTTTCGATAGTGCTCATACTTAATTATACCTACAAGATCAAAAAGTATAAACTTCCATTATTTGAGATGGTTGGTGTTACCTTGATTGAGAAGACATACTCTGTTGGTTTTGCATTTTCATAGTTTGAAAAAGAGGACATCTTTACTTGGGCATTAGAGGTGTGTCGGTCAATTTTGAAGGATCAAGGTGAGATACCTAAAGTTATTGTTACGAACCGCGATACCGCATTGATGAATGCATTTGCGAAGATGTTTCCTTCTTCTTACGCATTACTTTGTAAGTATCACATAACAAAAAATGTGAAAAGTCGGGTTAAACCCGCGGTACGGACGAAACAAGTAGAGTCCGAAGATGGAAAATTGGTGAAGTCAGGTGTGATTGTGGAGAAAATAATGGATGCATGGAATCTCATAATAAATTCTTCCACAAGAATTATATGTCGATTCTGTCATTCATTTTCGAAAAGTGTGTGAGAAGTATCCGGCTTTGTTGAAATATGTTGAGAGTACCATTCTTGATCAGGTGAAGGAGAAGATAGTTTGCGTATGGACTGATAATGCTCGACACCTTGGAAACACAACCACCAACAGAGTTGAGTCGACCCATACTACTTTGAAAAATTGGTTGGGAAATAACAAAGGGGATTTGTGTCGAGATTAGGACTCAGTGAACCATATGATTCAAAACCAACATAATGAGATAGAAATAACATTTGGTCGAAGCATCACAGTTTTAAAACACCAATTCAAAGACAACATTCTTTATTCTTATTTGGTCGGCAACATTTCTCGGATGGGGTTGAATTATATTTTTCACGAGGCCAAACAAGTTGATAATGTAGGATCCGATAATGCAAAGTGTGGTTGCATTATTATGAAAACATATGATCTTCCATTTGCTTGTGTTATTACTAAAAAAGTGAAACTTTGTGAGCCAATAAGAATGTACAAGGGTTGCTCTCATTGGAAGAGACTTAGTTTCGATGATGATGGATGCATGGATGAAGGTAAATAGAATATCTCTATTTTTACCGATTGGGAAGCGATACAAGAGAGATTTTCAAAAGCCGATGACAATATGAAACTCCACATCAAAGAAAAATTGAGGAAAATTGCCTATCCAGAAACCACCGACATGAAACCGCATTCTCAATCGGTAAAAACAAAAGGTGCTCTAAAGAAAATGAAGCCTACACCGAATGATAACTCGACTACATGGTATCCTTCATACTTTGAACACGTTGACAAATTATTTCCCGACTCACCGACTCTAAAATCTCAAAAAAGTGTTGTTAAAGGTGCTCGAATTAGCAAACCACCTCCGACTCTGCTTCCACCAAAGATTCCATCCATTGATGAGATGTCGGCTTTTATTCACAAATATATCAATCATATCGTTAATGTTACGGGGGACAGTAATTGTGGTTACTGAGCCATTTCGGCTTTATTTAGTAAGGGAGAAGATAATCATATGCTAGTCTATCATCAACTTATCCAAGAGTTGAAGACGCATAAGGAATCATACACGCGGTTGTACAGAAAAAAAGAAAAATCGATGCGGTTTACGAGTCACTTGTTTTTTGCTTGAGCGGCCCGGCACCAGAGTCAAATGGACGATCTTTCCGGATATGGGTCACTTAATTGCACCTGCATATAATAGGATGCGCATTAACCTGACACACTACGTGTTTTCAGAGACCTTTTTTCCATTGTGCACCACACCACCCCAAAATCCAAATGATTGCATCATGTGTATTGGATGCCTTTCGAAATCAAGTCATTTTGTTCAAGTTTACTTAAAACCGGGATG